GACTGTAGGTGCTGAGGAAAAGCCAAGTTTTGAACCAAGGCTGGCTGCTTCTAGTGCCAGGCCTGGGGCCACTTAACAACAAGTATGAGGCTTGCTGAGACCAGATGCTGCTTATTTGAGAGGTTTTAGGAAACTCTGAAGCAGGATCCAAGATAGGCCAATCCTATGGTAAAGCCTTTTGAAACAGTTTGGGTGGGCCCAAAAGCTGGGTGAGGCAGGGCCTCAGGGAATCACCAAGACAGGGCAAAACAGTGTGAGCCAGGTTGCTGGAGTCCCAGATATGGCGCCTGTCTCCTAACCCAGGGAAGGGCTCACCAAAGGAACAAAGGCCTCCACCAGCACATCTGTCTGAGAGAAAGCTGCCTCTCCAGCCCTCCTCCAGAGGCCAAACAGCTCAGTTCTTCTCTGTATGTCTCTGGTACCTTTCAAGCTGCCTCCCCTCTGAGCTTAGAGGGAGCATGTCCGAGTAAGTCCATGTGTGGGCCCTTTAAGAGGAAATGCCTTGGGCGCCAGTAGCCTCAGCCTCCCTCAGCCTCAGTTCCCGCTGGTTTTTACAGCCAGAAGTGATGAGGACTTCTCTTCCTGGCACTGGAACCCTGAGCTGGGGTGCCTGGTGTGGGATGGGGATCCCTCACTCCTCAGGGCAGACCTTCTCAGCTGAGGTGTCCTCCTGATTTTTATCTGCCACACGTGGGTGTGGGACAAGCCTGTCTGTGCCTCTGCCCCTCCTACCAGTCTCCATGTGGCTGCTTCTTTAATTTCATAGTTGTAGGACTTCCATTCAGCTCGATTTCAGGTGGTTCTGAATGATGGTTGTGCTGTGGTTTAGGTGTAATTTTGATGTGGTTGTGGGAGGAGGAGATACCACGTTTATCTACTCCACCATCTTGACTGGAAGTCTTGAACTGTGCACTTTTAAATGGTTAATCCTATACTAAGTGACTTTCACTCCAATTTTTTTTTTAAAAGGTCAATGTCATAAAAGAAAAAAGTACAAGGACTGGTTTAGATCAGGGCTTCTCAATCTCAGCACACGGAAACTTTGGGACAGGTAGTGTGCTGTGGGAGCTGTACTGGGAGAGCCAGGAAGCAGCCGAGATTGCAGCTGGGCCTTGTGGACCTTGATTAGCTAAGGCAGGATGTCCTAGCAGCACTCCTGGCCTGTTCTCAAGATGCAAGTAGTGACTCCCGCAATTGTGGAAATAAAAAATGTCTACAGACATTTCCAAATGTCTTCTAGGGGACAAAATCCATACCACTCCCTTCCCAAAGTTCAGAACCAGTGCTCTAGATTAAAAGAGATTAAATACAAGTGACAATTAAATGCAGTATGTGAACCTAGACTGGAGTGGGGAGAGTAGGGACAGAAATGTAAAGCCAAACAAAGCAAGATAAACTCCAAAACCAAAGTCATTTTTTACATTTCCAACACTCCTTTTCCCAGGAACGTGACCCCAATACTGGTGAAAGAGTATAATGCTGTAACTCTTTAGGAAAGCAATTTGACAAGGAGTCATGTAAATAGTCATACCTTTGACTCATCAATCTTACTTTTAGAAACTTATAATGAAATAACCCAAAAATGAAATATAACTGTGGTGTCTCTGAATTAAAAACTAATTCAGTGAATTCAGCACTGATTAGACTTTTTGATCTATAAGAAACCAGAAGATACAAAATAACATTTTAAACCTAATGCTAAATATGAAAATCTTTTGATATAATTAAAATCTAAACATGTAGCCCTGGCCAGTTTTTCCCAGTGGTTAGAGCATTAGTTCAATTCCTGGTCAAGGGCACGTACCTTGGTTGCAGGTTCAATCCCCAGCCCTAATCGGGGTTGTGCAGGAGGCAACCAATTGACGTGTCTCTCTCACATCGATGTTTTTCTCTCCCCCTTCCTCCCTTCCACTCTATCTAAAAAAAAAAATCAATAGAAAAATATTCTCAGGTGAAGATTAACAAACAAAATATATCTCAAAATATGTATTTCAGATGCCATAAGACTAATGCCTTCTTTTTCCTTAATATCTCTATTTGCTATCCATTTAAGCATTATACATAGGATAACAAGCCATCAAATGTAGAAAAACGGTCAACATTTAAGATTTGTGAAATTAACACCTCAATAAATTCAACTAAAAAATTTTTTATAAACCCCGTCAATAGGCTTCCCAAGGATTTACTGATAATGCTACTTGAGTATAAACAATCACCTGGAAATACTGATGATAACATATTACCTTATTTGAACAAGTTTTCCTTTATTGAGTACCAAACCATGTAATGGTAACTTGAACTTAAATAAAAAGGAAATGAGTTTGAACTGAAATTAATTAATTAATTAAAAAATAAAAAACAGCCACTTCAGGGCTTGATGTATTATTGCAGAAGTCGAGGGAAATTGTTAAGAGTTTGTAATACATTTCCGTCCACTGTCACAGGAGGAGAAAATTACAAGTGAATTCACACTTTCTTAAAATGTTTATGTTGGGATTAAATGTACCAAGTCAAAGAAAAAAAATTATTTTTAAATCTATAAAATTAAAATTCTGATATAGTCCCCCTTAAGTCCTCTAGTGTTCACTCCTTGAATCAAATGTAAACACAGACACATTATAATTAAAATCATGAACAAAACAAGCTGAAATATAAACAGCAAATTGAACAGGTAAAGGAAAGTTAAACAGACCTGAGTGATCACCCAGTCGTGTCCCTTCATTTTCAGAGGGAAAAACAGCAGCTCTGTTTCTGTAGTTCAGAAATGACTAGCTAACACCACATTTAAAGAAAGACTGCTCACACATTCCTGAACACAGCCTACAAAACCCCCAAATAACAATGTGTTTTCCTCTGTGCTCAAAGAAATGGCTCATCCCACTAACAGGCCAATGGGCCCTTGTAGAGCTTCCTGAAATAGCCCCTCACTGAGCAGTCAGGGGCTCTGAAAGGGAGGGCCGGCCACAGGCCTGAGCACCCAGCAGCCTTGGAGCACCAGGGCACACACAAATGAGCTCAGTGGTTGGAGCATCAGCCCTAGGACCAATGGGTCCCAGCTTCGATTCCCGCCCCGGTCGAGGTCATGTGGGGAGCAACCAATGGATGTCTTTCTCTCACACCAATGTTTCTCTTTCGTCTCTCTCTACCTCTCCTTCCCTTCCACTTTCTCTAAAAATCAATGGAAAAAATATCCTTGGGTGAGGATCAAAAATAAACAAACAAACAAATAAACAGATGACAAGGTTAAATTAAGGAACTCCCCCAAAAGTCACCTCGTTCACAAGGGCAGGAGGTCGGAATTTGAACCCAGGCTCTCAGGGTCCATATTCCCAGCCCCACAACTCCACTCTGGTGAGTCCCATTAGTGACAGAAACCCAGATTCAGAATCAGCATTTGCTCCGAGTATGTTCACAAGTTTGAGAATTCTTCGTGATTTTAAGCAATAATCTTCTCATTGACTCGTTGCCATTGTTATAGGAAATAAGTCAATACCTATGTAATTTTATTAAAATAAAAGTTATTTCCCTGGCCAGTGTGGCTCAGCAGTTACAATGTCACCCTGTGTACCAAAGGGTCTCAGGTTCGATTTGCAGTCCAGGGCATGTACATGGGTTGCAAGTTCATCCCCAGCCCTGATTGGGGCACGTGCGAGAGGCAACCAATTGTGTCTTTTTCATACTGATGTTTCTCTTCTCTCTCTCTCCTGCTCCCATCCTTTCTCCCTCCCTTCCACTCTCTCTAAAAATTAATGGAAAAAATATCCTCAGGTGAGGATTATAAATAAATAAATAAATAAATAAATAAATAAATAAATAAAAGTGATTAAACTTATTAAAAAACTGTTTAAAAAAGTATTTCAGTTCAGTGTGATAAAAGCTGTAATAGTAACAAAGACTGTGTCCTTGACCAAAGTTTGGTCTGGCTCCTATAAAGGCCTTTTCTCAACCTGGACTAATCCTTGGGCTTTGTTCTCAGGCTGGTACAGCTGAGTTTTAGCAAGAATTCCTGCACTCATTTGATCACCCAGGCCTTCCTTCAGCAAAAATTTTGTTAGGTCAGTTTAGCAAGAATTCCCCCTACCCTTGATGCCTCCCTCCTCTTAGTAATTTATACCCATTGACCTCCCTCCCCTAGCCTACTTCCTGGCTATCAACCCCCACTTGTCCTTGCTATATTCAGAATAGAGCCCAGTTCTACAGTGAGATGTCTTTCCCCTTAATACAACATTTCCTAAATAAAATCTGTTTTTACCACCATAAAAAAAAATTCATCTTTTCTCTTATGAAGACAGACTCAGACCCCTAAGTACTGAATGTAAAGAGGGTAGAAGAAAAGTTTTTCCTTCTCCACAAACTCAATGGAAGAATTTTTTTAATTGAAAAGATGTTATTAAAGCATGAGGCAAGTTTCTTAAAAACAAAAATCAATTCACATGTAAATCTTACATGTGATTTTCATAACGATTTTCATCCTTCCTAGTTTTTTCTGGTCCTTGCACAAAGGTGGATCTACACTCTCGTATTCCGCCTTATTCACATACATTCCTTACATCATCTCGTTTTTCCAGATAGTCTTAATTATTTCAAAGTGCTGCATAATTAGATGTACTGATACAACATAGTTTACTAAGCCCTAAAGGTTTTAGTAAACCATTTAGATTCTTCTAATATTTGGCAATAAGATAACACTACAGTGAATAACATGTGCTTGTGTAAAACTACACAATATATTACTGAATGATGAATGAAGTTCCCTCAAGGGCCACAGCTGAGTCTGAATAGTTTGAGCACACTCGTAGTTTTGCTCTGATCAGACAGACCTCTTCTGAAAGGCTCTGCGGTCCACAGAGCCATCAGAAGTGCACTTGTTACAACCAGGCCAGGAAAGGTATTTTGCCAACTTAAAAAACAAAAAGGGAAGAGGTAATTCACATTTGAAAAAAAATTAAGTCAGCCTTAAAATGAAAGAGGAAAGCAAACAAGAGGGACAGCACACTTACTGGGGATTTCCAGGCTGGGGTGGATGGCAGCCACACTCCTGACCATGGGTGGGGAATGTCGTCCATCCACCAAGTCGGACTCAGCGTCCTGAGCTTCTCCATGAATCACTGCAATACCCAGTCGAAGGCGCTCAGCAAAAGACTGTGCCCTGAGGGAGAGCATGAGACAGTTTAAAAAGCACGCAACACCTGTCTTCTGTTAATGTCGATGGAAGGAACATTAAAAGAACATAAATAAAATGTAGTTTCCCAAAGAATTAATGAAAATTATTTATTATTATTAATTAATAAAATAACCTCAGAGTCTCAGACTGCCGGACAAAGTGTGGAGACCCCATGTGATAAGCACATCTCTCTGGCAATGGGCACCAATGGGTGGGAGCATCTGGCCCTGGTCTGCACTCAGTCAACAGGGTGAGTCTGCATAAATTAACTAACTTCCTTTGAGCCTCAGTTTCCTCACTTGTAACTGCTAATTCCCTACTTTATAGTGAGAACAAACCACATGAGACAAAGTGCATTTAAAACTCAAAGTATTAAGCATCAATTTTTAAGTTGTATTAAGGTATAATTGGTATACAATTAATGGTACATATTTAAACTACATGCTTTCATAAACTCTGACGTGCACATGTATCTGTATAAACATTAGCACAACCAAGGCAGTGAAAGTATTTATCATGACAAACGTTTCCTTGTGCCCCTCTATCATTTCTCCTTCAAGCACCAGGCAACTAACGGATCTCCTGTCACCACAGGGTTCGTAAGTGGAATCGGAGTATGCGGTCCTCTTTTGTTTTACTTCATTCAACATAATGCTTTGAAGACCCATCCACGAAAGACTGTTCATCAAGAGGCCATCCCTTTACATTTCTGAGTAACAGTCCACTGTTTGGGTCTCTCAGTTTGTCCATTTACTTGTTTTTTGTTTGTTTTTTATCCTCACCCGAGGACATTTTTTCATTTTTTGTTCAGATAGAGCGGAGGGAGAGAGAGAGAGAGAAACATCGACGTGAAAGGGACACATCGAGTGGCTGCCACCTGCACGACCCAATCAGGGCCGGGGACAAACTGCAATCCAGGTACATGCCCTTAGTGGGACCCAAAACCGGGTCTCTCTGGACCACAGACTGACGCTCTAACCGCTGAGCCAAACCGGCCAGGGCTGTCCATTTACTTGTTGATGGACTTTTGAGTTGTTTCCAGTTTTGAGCTATTACAAAACTGCAGTGAACATGCATGCACAAATCTCGGTATGGACTCACGTTTTCTTTTCTCTTGGGTAAATGTCTAAGAGTAGAATGGCTGGATAATATGGGAGGCATATGTAACTCCTAAAAAAACAACCAAACTGCCTTCCAAAGTGGCTATACCATGTTTCATTCCCATGAGAGTTCACCAGCACTTGGTGTGGTCAGTCATTTTAATATTATCCATTCTACTGGTGTGTAGTACTCCATTGTGGTTTCCCCTTGGGACAAATGGTGTTGGGCAGTTTTCCATGTGCCTATTTGTCATTCATATATATTCTTTGGTAAAGGTCTGTTTATCTTTTGCCCATTTCTTATTTAGGCTGTCAGTTCTTTTTAAATTTTGAGAAGTCTTTATATATTCTGAATATAAGTCCTTTACCAGAATATATGCTTACGAGTATTTCCTTCCAATCTGGGCCTTCTCCTGTCATTCTCTTCATGTCTTCTGAAGAGCAATTTAAAATTTTGACAACACCTAACTTAATAATCCTTTCCTATGAATTATGCTTTTGGTGTTATATTTATGAAATCTTTGACTACACCAGGATCACAAAGATTTTCTCCTGTGTTTTCCTCTAGAACTTTTACAGTTTTAGGTTTTGCATTTAGGTATTTGATTCATTTTTAGTTGATTTCCATAAGTGATATCAGATATTGCTCATGATTCATTTAATTTTGCACATGAACATCCAATTTTTCCAACACCATTTGTTCAAAAGACTATTCTTTCTTCACAGACTTGCCTTTGTACATGTTGAAAATCAGTATTATAGATACATATGGTCTGTTTTTCTATTTTTATCCCAATAGCTCATATTCATGTCTGCTTTAGCTTTGTAAGAAGTCTTTAATTCAAGTAGTGTTATATCTTCAACTTTGTTCTTTTGCAGTTGTTCTACCTATTCTAGGTTCTTTGCATTTCCATATGAATTTTAAAATCAACCTGTCAATTGCTACAAAAAAACCTGCTGAAATTTTGATTGGGAGGTCTCAATTTGGGTAGAAATGCTATCTTAACATTGAGTCTTTTGATCCATGAACACAGTATCTTCCTCCACTGATTTAGGTCTTTTTCTTGGTAATGTTTTGCATTTTTCAGTATATAAGTCTTAAATTTATCCCTAAGTGTTTCACTCAATTTCATGCTATTTGGTTTTATTTTTCATTTCAATTTCCAACTGTTCATTGCTAGTATATAGAAATACAACTGATATTTTTACTGATTTCATAATCTACAAACTTGCTAAACTGATTTATTAGTCCTAATACCACTTCTGTAGATTTCATCATATTTTTCTACATAAATAATCATGCCACCCACAAATTAGGACTGTTTTACTTCTTCCTTTCCATACTGGATTTCTTTTCTTTCTTTTTACTTCTTTTTTTTAATTGCAGCACTACTATTTGGCATCTCCAGTACAAGGCTGAACAGAAGGAGGGAGAGGAGACAGCCTCACCTTGTTCCTGAATTCAGGAAAGCTTTCAGTCTCACCACTGAGTGGGAGGTTAGCTGTGGGGTTTTCATAGATGGCCTTTATCAGAGGAAGAAGTCCCCTTCTATACTTAGTTTGCATAAAGTTTTTACCAAGAATGTAAACTGAATTTTGTCAAATGCTTTTTGAGTCTACTGAGATAATCAAGTAGTTACATAAGATATAGAATTTGCATAACTTTAAATTCATCCTTTTAAAAAACTCAAAGTAATTTAAAAGAAATTCTCAGAGGGAAATCGCAGTCAGACAAATTACAAGGTACTCTTCACTAGCTCCTGCCCATCCTAATATCATGGAGACTGTCACCAGAGAGATGAGTTCCTCCTTCATGTTCAAGATTGGCTTTGCAGCCTGGCCCATGTGGCTCAGATGGATTGAGCATCGTCCCATGGACCGAGAGGTCCTGGTTCCATTCCTGGTCAGGACACATGCCCAGGTTGTGGGCTTGATCCCCAGTAGGGGGCGTGCAGGAGGCAGCTGATCGATGTTTCTATCTCTTTTTCTCCCTAAAAAAATCAATAAATCCCTGGCCGGTTTGTCTCAGTGGTTAGAGCGTCAGCCTGTAGACAAGAGAGACCAGGCAGGTTCAGTTCCCACTAAGGGCACATATCTCGGTTGCGGTTTGTCGTGGGCTCCTGTTGGGGTCGTGTGGGTGGCAACCAGTCGATGTGTCTCTCTCACATCGGTGTTTCTCTCTCTCTCTCTCTCTCTCTCTCTTCCTCCCCCTCTCCCTCCCACTCTATTTGAAGATAAATGCAAAAATGTCCTCAGGTGAGGAAAAAAAAAATTGGATAAAAACTACTGAAAGAAAAAAGATTGGCTTTGCAAACAAAACTGTTGTCAAAAGAATTAACCTTAGTTACCCACTAAGGAAGTGTTTTCCATCTGGAATCCACAGAGGTCTGCCAATTCCTAGAAGAATGCTGTTTCAATACTACTAGCCTCTACTGAAGGTTTATTGTTAACTCTTCAACAACACAAGTTTGAACTGTGGATCCACTCATATGTGGATTTTTTCCAATAAACACTGTATTTTTTCTTCCTTATGATATTAATAACATTCCTTTCTCTAGCCTATTCTACTTCAAGAATATAGTATATAATACAAATTATATACAAAATATGTTAATCAACTTTATATTATCAATAACCCTTCCAGTCAACAGTAGGCCACTAGTAGTAGTTAAATTTGGGGGAAATCAAAAGTTATACACAGATTTTCAACTGTGCAGATGGTTAGCATTCTTAATCCCTGTGTTGCTCAAGGACCAACTGTACTTTCATGATAAATAAAACCATATGTACACACTGATATTAGTTCTTGGATACTCTGTCATGTAACTTGAATTCCCACCTGATTCCAAAAAGAATCAGGATGATCCCTCTAGGTCACATTGTCTTATACACTAATAGTCTCAGAAGAATTTCAAAGCAACTCAGTTTTGCTACTGGTGGTACAATGATGAGGGTTAATTTCAATTCACATCCTGGGTTAAAACACAACACAGGATCTCAAGAGTTTTATTTCTACTCACTTGTTTCTTATGACCTCTTTTATTCAAAACAACTGCTCACTGTCAAAGAACTCTAAAACCACAGGCTCTACATACTCATCAGTAACTTCAGAATTCTAAAGGAACTAACAACCACCATTCTGTGCAGTGGTGTTTTAATCTGTAAAATCCTTCCCTGTGTTCCTTAATGTTTATTACAACTCTGTAAGATAAGACAGGCAGTGCAGGTGTTAGCCTCATTTCACTGATGAGGAAACAGGTTTGGAGAGACTGCCTGACTGTGGTTCTTACGGTTCTCACAAAGACTGGCTAAGCCCCAAATGGAAGCCCATGTCTATTGACTCCTAGTTTAACTATCTTCCTGCTGCTCTAGGGTGTCTTTTAAATTAACTATGAGTTTTCTAAGGTTAGGTGCTAAATGAAAAACTTGGAAGAATAAGCTAGAAACAATCAGATAAAAAATGGCATGTCCTCCCTGGCCAGTTTGGCTCAGCAGTTAGAGCGTTGGCCCGCAGACCAGAGAGTCCCGCATTCGGTTCCCGCTAAGGGCACGTACCTCGGTTGCAGTTTGTCCCTGGCCCCAGTTGGGGTCATGTGGGTGGCAACCACTCAATGTTTCTCTCTCTCTCTCTCTCTTCCCCTCTTCTCTCCTGCTCTATCTGGAGATAAATGCAAAAATGTTCTCAGGTGAGGCTAGAAGTCTAAGATCAGCGTCCTCCTGGTTTGCAGATGGCCTTCTCCTCATATCCTCAGAAGGCAGAGAACAGAGCCAGAGAGCCAGAGCAAGCTCTCTGTGTCTCTTCTCATCCACAAGGGCTCCACCTTCATGACCTAATTACTTCCCAAAGGCCTCACCTCCTAAATACCACCCACTGGGTAAGATTAG